AGACCACGAGGGCCGATCTCAGAAATCGAAGAGGCACCTACTTTTCTAGCCTTGTCAGCACCTGTCACACGAACACTCAGCTTTGCAGAAATTATGGGCATTCTGTCGAAGACTTCTGGTGAAGTAGAAAGCACATGAATCTTACTGTTCAATCATCCACTTCCCACACGCAACAATAGCTCATGGGTACCACAGATGACTTTGCCAAAGTTTCTCTGCCAAAGTTGAGCACGTGAAGCTTGCAGCTCCCACTACATCGCTCTGACCAAGAAAGGTAAAAGAATAGCAAAGAAACAGCACTAACAAAGTTTGGACACATAAATTTTTGAAGGTCTAGCTACCATATTATTACCCACAAGGGTAAAGGAACAGTACCACTGCTGGATATCGAAGAGGCACCGTCCTCTGAATCTCGAGAGCCAGACTCCCAACATGACTACTTTCTCAAAATCGAAGAGAGGGTAAAGGAACAGTACCATTGCTGGATAATTGGAAAGTCCCTGTGTGTCAACCTTTGTGCTTCGTGGCAAGGTAGACTAGCAAACATGCCCAACCTTTACTCACATTCGAGACAACACTCCCAACAAGATTGCTTGCTCCAAAATCGAAGAGGCACCGCCCTCCGAATCTCGAGAGCCAGACTCCCAACATGATTACTTCCTCAAAAATCGAAGAGACACTGCTCTCCGAATCTCGAGAGCCAGACCCCCAGCATGATTGCTTTCTCAAAAATCGAAGAGAGCATCGTTCTCCGAATCTCGAGAGCCATATACCACAGACCACTTTTTCAAAGTGCTCTGACAGAGTTAAAACATGTGAAACTGGCAGCTCCCACTACGGTGCTATGACCAAGCAGGGTAAAGGAATAGCATTACTACTTGTTGTTAGGGAGACTCCTATATATATGTCGACCTCCATCCCAACGGACAGGCAGACCTGCAAAAATGTTCAACCCTTCATCATCATATCTGAGAGGGCACTCCCAACGAAGCCTTTCGAAATATTCAGCTTTCTTTCCCCCCGATAATACCTCTGCAAACAAGCTATACTAGAGCAAGAATATCTCATATCATCAGGGTTAAAAGCAAGAGTATCCCATATCATGCTTTTTCCCTGTCTTTTCTTTTGGCCTTGTTTTTACCTGCAAGACAAGGAGAAAGAGAGCAATCAGTCAGCACTTGGAATCAAGATTCCAGCCAGGAACTGACTGCCTGAAACCCCTTACCTGATTACTTACCTGGCATTGCTCTCGAGTACTCATCTTCAACATCTTATGTTTCCAGGGAAGATTCTGCATCTACTTGAGGAACAGATAGGGCAAGTGCGAAGGATACAAGGAAGCATGTGGAGACAAGCGTAACAGCACACATGCCGATACATCCATTACTTTGTCAAAAGCAAAAGTATCCCATATCAGCAGGGTGGAACGTACTCTAGATTTGATGGACTTGTTTTGACCCTCAAATTCTTCAGTCGACCTTATACTCTGGAGGAAACCAGAAAACCCTCCAGCTCAGTTCAAGAATAAGCCTGTGGAAAGTTACTTCTTCAAAAGCAAAAGTATCTCATATCATCTCTTCTCATTTTTCTTCTCTTTATCCTTCATGCTGCTGCAAGATGGGGAGAAGGTGAACAATCAGTCGGAGCTCTGATTGCTTACCTTGTCTGTCACCTCTTTCAGCAGACCCCCTAGCTCGGCGACTTGGGGGACTCCTACTACATGGTTTGTATCGCGCTTGACCAAGCCTGAAACTACAAGTAAGCTTCAAGTGAAATTGATACATTACCTTGTGCATCTCCACCAATTAAAGATACCACCCCTGGATGGAGGAAGAGTACTTCCAGAGAAGATGCTACCTATGAGACAGATAAGGCAAGTCAAGACGACACCACACTCCGATACTTAGAAGTTTCGTGATTACGAGATCATTCTCCCACAATATTTCCTAATGTCATTTGTACTAAATCATTCACTTGTACTCACTAAAGGAGAGCTTGAACCTATGTACTTGTGTAAACCCTTCACAATTAATGAGAACTCTTCTATTCCGTGGACGTAGCCAATCTGGGTGAACCACGTACATCTTGTGTTTGCTTTCCTATATCTCTATCCATTTATATACTTATCCACACTAATGAAAAAAAGGAGCAATCTAGCGAAGATCACAAAAAGCGACCGTTTTCGCTACCTAGGATCTATCTTGCAAGAGAACGGAGAATTAGATGGAGATCTCAACCATAGAATACGAGCTGGATGGATGAAGTGTAAGAGTGCATCCGGCGTGTTGTGTGACCGTCGTAGGCCACTGAAGCTCAAGGGAAAATTTTATAGGACGGCAATAAGGCCAGCGATGTTGTATGGCACAGAATGTTGGGCGGTGAAGCATCAACACGTACACAAAATGGGTGTAGCGGAGATGAGGATGCTTCGTGGGATGTGTGGGCACACGAGAAAGGATAAGATTGGGAATGAGGATATCCGAGGTAAAGTCGGAGTAGACGAAATTGTAGGAAAGATGAGAGAAAATCGGCTCCGGTGATTTGGACATGTGCAAAGAAGGCCGACTGACGCTCCGGTTCGAAGATGTGACTACGGGACAGAGGTTCAGGGCCGAAGGGGTAGAGGAAGACCTAGGAAAACTTTGGAAGAGACTCTAAGAAAAGACTTAGAGTACTTGGATCTAACGGAGGACATGACACAAAACCGAGCGCAATTGCGTTCTAGGATTCATATAGCCGACCCCACTTAGTGGGAAAAGGCTTTGTTGTTGTTGTTGTTGTTGTTGAGAGTTGCATATGTGAAGCTTTTGACTGTTTGCATTGCAGGACTATAACAACAAAATGGTGCAATTACGAGCAGGAAAGAGTTGCAAGAGCAAACTTACAATTGTAAAGTTCAAGACTCCGGAGTCAGTGGATGGATGGGAAGTTCGTCAGGGGACTTACTTTCAGGATGTGGTTGCTTCTATGTATGATGGAGGAATGGATGCCGAGTTCGAATTCACTTTCACCAGAGATGCTGTTTTCTCCACTAAGAGAAGGACTGAAGTGGGGTTTTGAGGTTCTAAATGGAAACCAACTATTATTCCTTTGACTCTATTTTTTGCTGCATTGTGGGACATGTTTTCACCAGAGGAGCGTATGTTGAACTGTAAAAAAGGCTTTCACTTCCTTTGGGTTGGACCCTCGACTGGTATGCCATATTTGCATTCTCAAATGGAGCTACTAAGCTAAAAGCAGCTTCCCAAAATGGAATTCATGGTATTTTTCTTAGTATTAATTACAAGATTTGGGTAAATAATATTCTTGGTATCCTTCTTATTATTAATTACTTAGAATTTGAACACAAAATGAACTCATTTGAGTACAGATAGTATTTCTATGTTTTCCCTCTTTGTTTTAGAGATTATCAACTGTTCTTAAGCTGTTTTCATAGTGATTAGAATGAATCAAGTGATCGCGAGATAGGCTAATCAAAAGAGCACAAATATGAAGGAAAACAGGTTCTGCTTTCTTAAGGTATCAATTTTTGAAGTTTGGAGGCTTATGTCAATCTATGACAATTGTTCGAATCATTGTATCTAAGTATGCATTATACATTCAATTAAGCCAATGACGCATGTGTGCCAACGAATTTCAAAGAGTTCGGCTTGGTTTTCTCTCTTTGGTCTTTAATATGAAAGTGTGAGGCACTTGTTCGTTGACTAATTGAGTTCCTTCTCCAAGTTTTTAGTAGACATTGGGTCGCTGTAATTTGCTTTTATGGGCACATCTGTGACTAAAGAAAATATAAGCTGTCAAGTTCCCAAAATGCCCAAGGAGATCAAGTTTAACAAGTCATGAACTGTGATCAATCCAAATGCAGTGAAATTAGGGATTTTACACTTAAAAAGTCAGTTAGCTTTAGACCATAGGATTAGCATTTTGCACATGTGAGTATCATTAACCTGCTCACTTTATTTTTCCGGATAAGAAACAAACTGTCATTGAAGGGAGAAGAAAGTGTACAAAAACTAAGGTTCTGTAAGCTTACACTCATATGCCTAATATTTTATTTTCATCTTTTCTTGGCAGGTATTTACAATAATAGATGCTAACAGTTTTCTTTAACACTAGGGCCTTTAACTTAAGGGGTCGCTTGACATCCGTATCATCTTTTGATTTTGCAGAGGTTGTAATAATTTTCCTTTGACTGATATGTTGATAAGTTTGTTTTCGTAGATACCAAAGACTACATGGAAGATCTCTGTGTGAATATCAAGGTCCGTACTTTTCCTTTTTAGTTGGCAATACGAGCATCTTCAACTTTTTAAAAATAAACGTATAACATATTATAAGTATGAACTGGTGTGGGTTAATAAGGAACTTAGATATGCGGGATAGAAGATGGAAATGAAAACTAAAGAAATCAAAGTATTCTGATTACATATAAGTACAATTTTTGAAGAAAACTTAAGAAACAAATAGATTTTGATTGCAAATTAAGAAAACTTAAGAGACCAGTTCAATTGGGTAGCTGAAAAAATGGAAAGAAAAGAAAAATATTAGTAAACATTCGGTACGTTAGAAGAATTTGTTTTTACTTATGGAGACCATTTGATTGCTAAGGAAATCGAGGAAAAGAAAACAAAGAAACTAAGAGTTGTCTGAGTTGTTTCTAGAGAGAGGACTTGGAAAAAACAACACATATTTTTGTAATGGTTCTCATGAATTTCCTTTTGACTAAACAAAACATAATCAGTTTGTTTGCTTTACTGAGAATGTAGCGTTTATTGTGATTAATTTCGGGTTTTGAAGGAGATATTTGTGTCCCGAGCCGTATCTAGAGTAGATTTTGGAGTTCCTTTGGTCTTAGAATATTTGGTTACTCCAGTGCATTGACAATTAATAGATGTAATTCTTTTTACCATTGTTGTGTATAATTATGCTGACTTATATGTTATAACGTGACAAAAGTTGTTTCGCTTCCAAAGCATCAACGTATATTAAAAAGAAATATATAAAGAGGGCTGGAACCCAGTCGAAGCTGGGGGGCTAGGCTCTCACGCCCATATTATATTACTTGAAGAAAAAACATACAACGGGAGGGACATAGTACCTAAACCCCGAGGATCAAAAACAAAATCATATACAACCACTCCAAGTAGTTAACATGGTCATCACATATTGAATCCAAAAGGTTGATGCTCCTCCATTCACTGAATCCAAAATCTCTGGTTCATATGGTTTGTCATTTGAAAAGAAAATAAAAATTACGGTGATGATGAATGAAGAATAAAATTAAGAAATGAGATTGGCATTTGAATATTTCATAGTTTATATTGAATTAGGCTAGTGTGAATTGAAACAAGTTAGAAAACGCACCTTAATCCCAAATAGTAATGTGTGGGATGTGAGCAATCTTAGGCCAGTCCTCACCTGTTTCTTTGCCGCATCTTTCCCATAACTTGGGGCAACCAGAAATTTGCAATGTATTTAAACAGGGGAGTCCACGAATCCATTCTGGCAGTGAAGCCAAATCCTCAATTTCCTCAAGTGACAGATGTGTTAATTTGGAGAGAGGAGGGGAAGAAGAAGAGGCAGAAACATCAACACCAACATCATGTGTAATATCAGATGCTCCTCTAAAAAACAAGGAATCAACAACCTTCCAGCTGCTCTTACAGACTTGTATTCTCTCCACATTTGGACAAAGAGGGATGGAAGTTAGATTAGGAGTGTGCGCCCTCCACCATCCCTTCAGAACAGGGCAACCTACTAGGCAGAGTGTCTCCAGGGAGGGAAAGAATGAGATCCTCATCATCTCATCACTCATACTATTACTGCTCTCTTTCTCTGATATGTACTCCAACTTCTCCAAATATCCAAGTTGAAGTTTCTTAAGGGAAGGCAAATGATCCAAGGGTGGAAGATGTTGGCATCTCTTACAATTCCAGAATGCGAGATTAACAATATTAATGAGAGAAGAAAACCAACTCGCAAACCTCACACCACCATAATACCACACGGACAACTGCTTTAGATTAGAATGGGGTTGCAATACTTCCATTGACTTTATAATATCCACCTCATCAACTGCCTTTACATCTTCTCCAAATTTCCACCACAATTCCAACGAATGGAGATGCTGTTTGTCCTTGAGAGGTGTACCAACATTTGATTCTGACACCACATCTTTCTCGTGCCTCAAATTATCAAAAATAACCAAGTCTCCCCTTAATTCGTTAAGGGTGGCCAGCTCAGCAAGACCAGCACTACCGCCCCTCCCCAAACAATTGCTTTCACTCAAAACAAATCTATTCAATGTACGAACACCTTTCAATTCACCAATTCCACGTGGCATTCCACTCAACCCAATACAATCTTCCAAGATGAGATGCCTTAAGTTGATCATTTTTTTAATGTCTCTAGGCAATTCCACAAGACTAAGACACTGACTGAGATCTAGTGTTTCCAAATTCGAAAGTCCAACTATCCAATCTGGAAGTCTCTCCATCATGAGATTCCCACTAAGATCAAGATATCTCAAATGTTTCATTTTTTTAAAACAATTAGGCAATCTTATAATATATATTGTATTGAGACTCAACATCCGTAATGACTTAAAATTTGAAACAATTGTGGTACAAAATGAATCACATAATGACTCATCGTAATCTTTCAAAACCTCTTGGCAAAGAAAAAGATAAGTTCGTATCTTGCATGCTTTTACCAAGGAAGTTGGCACTTCCCATTTCAACAAATCAATATCAAAATTGAAAGATACGTGACGAAAGATACGTGACGAAGCTTTTCATGAAAGTTCTTTCGGTTCAGATCAACTACGACGCTCCTGACACCCGACACTAAGATTGCAAGTTCATTCATGAGATCGTGCATTTTACAACTTTCTATTATACCAAACTCATTTGTTTTTTCTTCTTGAAAAAACGATCTGCACAACAATTCCCTATAATATTCAAACGCAACATCCTCCAAACACTCGATTTCGTCGGATGACTTAACGAACCCTTGGGCCACCCAAAGTCTAATCAATCTTGGTACAGAGATATCATAATCAGGTGGGAACAAGCTACAATAAGCAAAACAATGCTTCAAATGTGATGGGAGCACATCATAACTTAGTTTAAGTGTTGGTAAAATATCATCTTCTTTTTGACTTATTTTTGAAAGTTTCCTTTCTTTGAAATTAAGCCATTCTATTTCATGATGTTTGGTGCGCAACATCCCACCTATCGTCCTTAGAGCGAGTGGAACTCCCTGACATTTTCTTACAACCTCCATCCCAACTGCCTTAATTGTTGAATTCTCTGGTTCTTCTCCATCTTTAAAAGCCATTTTCTTAAATAAAGACTAGCTTTGCTCTTCATTCAAACCCCTTAAGGCGTACTGTTTAGTTGTGTGTGATGTCATCGCAACGATTTCAGTACGTGTGGTTATTAATATTCTACTACCTTCTCCACCACCCCTTAACAAGTCCATCAAGCTAAGCCACTTATGTGGATCCTCATTCCACACATCATCCAACACAAGTAGGTATTTCTTCCCATTTACTTTTTTTCTAAGATCATTTTGCAGCTGATCCATATCAAGCTGGTCCACCTTATCACGCTCCTTTTTATCAAGCTTGTCAGCTTTTAGGATTTTCTTTGCCAATATATCCAACTCAAATATATTAGAGACACATATCCATATTTTCAACTCAAAATGCTTTTGAATCACCTCATCATTGAATATGAGTTGGGCAAGGGCACTTTTCCCCAATCCTCCAATTCCAACTATGGAAACGGTTGAAACATTCTCAGTTGAGATGGGATCCAACAAAAGTTGGATAAGTGCCTTTTTATCTTCATCTCTCCCTATAATATTTTCCTTAGGGACAAATGAGTGAGTAACCCTCTCTCTCAATATTAATCTTGTATCTTCACGATTATTGTTTAAGTCCTTGGGTCTACGGGATTCAATCTCACTAAGCCTCTTGTTGATATCTTTTATCTTATGACTCATCTTTAACCCAAAACAAGTTGATTTGAGCTAGAAAAAGAAAAGACGCACCTGTAAGAGTTTGAGTAGACACAATCATTTTTTCGATAGAACTGTGTTAATAAGTTAATAGAGTTTTGTAACGGTAAGTTATACGAAACATTCAAAACAATAATGTAGAAGATTTATTGCAGTTAAATATAAGTTATTGAGAGACCTATTGTGCTCCTAATAGGTTAATATCGATAAGCTTACGTGACTACGAAAATGTTCTACAAGGTGCAACCTCTCGAATCATCTTGTTAATATATTTTATTTAATGATTCATCTTTCGTCAGAAAGCAAATTCATTTGAGCTAAAGAAAAAAGAGGCATACCTTCTTTGACAGCTTAGTATTGCCATGCATCACTAGTCTCCGCTGAACTTCAGTATTAAACTCATCCAGCACATCATCGGCTTCATAAACTGCATCTTCTACGCTTTCGAGCCATAGTTTGACTTCACTGTTGTTGGCTTGCTTTTGCTCAGCGTCTAGAAGAACAGCTTGGAATCCGACAACTGTCTCCTTGAGCTTGTTGAGCTCATCTTGGACACCCCAAATCGACCCAATCTCTTGGAAAGCACGGTTGCCAAGCCTTACAATGATCCGTTCTACAATATTAAAGAGAACTCCTTCTGCCATTTCTTGTATTCAGAACAAGCAAAAACCCAAGTGAAGTAAATTAAAATATAAAGTTGTAACTAAGAAATTGATTTTGCGTAATGAAAGATGGCTCCTCCTGCTAGTCTTTACATGCCCATCTCTCATCCAACCACTCACACATCATTCAATGTATAAAATAAAAACAAAGACCTAAGAATGGTCAATATGTACAGCTGGCCTTAATAATTGAAAGTTGATTTTTAATGCCAGCCGGGTCCTTCACAAATAGCTAGTGCTCTGCTTGTGTTGTGTCGTTTTTCATTTGATTTCCAATACATGTTCTCTCTTCCACACCCCTTGGGCCCGCTATTATAACCGGTCATCATTTGTACACCCACCGCTCTACCTTTCTACACCCAGCACTTCCAAATAGAAGCAATCAGTCTAATTTTATTTGTATCTTCAGTGCGAATTTATACACCCAGCACTGCACGTTTCTGACACCTTCTTTCAGCTGAGAAAATTAGATTTCCTTTAATTTCTAGTTTCAAAAATTGAGGGTTGAGGAAAAAAACAAATAATAATAAAAAAAGGTCGTACCTAGTGCACAAGGCTCCCGCTTTACGCAGGGTCTGGGAGAGGTGAATGTCGGCTAGCCTTACCCCCATTTATGGAGAGGCTGCTCCCAAGTCTCGAACCCGAGACCTACCGCTCATGGGCGAAGGCACTTGCCATCGCACCAAGTGCGACTATTTTGTTAAATGTCTTCATCTCATAAGATGTAAGATGAAAGGTTAAGATTGATTTGATGTAAGTTTGAATATTGTTAAAACTATGTAACCGTTAGAAGATTATCAGTGAAGCAACATTATACACTAAGGTCTCGTTTGACAAACCGTATAACCAACCAGATAGGATAAATAGTATGAACCCAAGTGTTTAGTGTAATTTTACACTAAATAGTACCCGAATTAATTAAACTGGACCCACATCCTTATATGGTGCACCTACTAAATTATCCAACCCAAAACCTTTGTATTATAAGGGATGGTTAGGTATTGCTGTGTTTTGAAAAAAAAAACTGTTTTTACGGTGCTGTGAGAATAAGTAGCTGTGAAATAAAGCAGTAGAATGTTTGGTAAACTTTTTTGTAAAAGTGTTTTTGGAAAAGAAAAAAAACGGTATTATAATGTTTGGTAAACTTTTATGTAAAACAGCTGTGACTGTGTGAAATGACAAAAAATTGTATAATACTAGATGTGTCATTAATTTAATTTTCTTAACAAATAAAGGTGAATTACTAAATATACTTTATTTTAAAAATAATTTTTTATAAACTTTATCTTAAACATATAATCCACCGTTTAACAAGAAATCATAATTCAACATTCAACATATAATTCAACATTTATGCTGCTTCACGTTTGCAGCTTTTTTTCCATCCAAAATTGTGAAAATAAGCTATTTTTAAGTGTTTACCAAATACCTTTTTGAGCTCAACTTTTTTTGTATATCCACTTTTCATAAAAGCACATAAGTACCAAACCGGTACTTAATTAGTAGGAAAATCACATTGTGTTCTCCCGTTCTCTCATGTTGCGTCCCTTTCTCTCGCATCGTGCACAAGACTAATTCCCATTGCCGTCGTTCAGCTGTCATCTTCGTCAAGATTTCTTCTTCTTCTTTATGTTCCACTTTAAATTTTTGGTGAAGTTACAATTCCTTTCAAAATTAAGGTTTTGAACCCTAGAATTTAAATTCTGTGAAATTAATTTGGGTTGGAATATGAAGCTTCTTGGCTCAATTTATGTGGTTGCGACCATCCACCACGATGTAAATTCAATTAATCGATTTTCTTGAGAGGATCTGAAACCCGACGACCTGCAAGTCGCCTTTTTGCTGGAATCTGGAGCGGAATCTCACAATTTGCGCTTTATTCCGCACCTTCATGGTGCCTCGATTTGCCACGAATCCACACCCATAACTTTTCTGGGTTGTGTGCAGAATATTGAAAATGGATCATCTCCGGATGTCTTCCTCCTAATCCACTAAATCAATCAATTCGGGCATTTAAAATTTGATATAACGGCTAAAAACAGGAGACCCTATTAAAAATTATAATTTTAGCCGTTGTATCAAATTTCAAAAGTCCAGATTAATGAATTTAATGGATTAAGAGGCAATGATCCGGAGAATATCCCTTTTCCAGAAGATCAATGACAACGGATTGTTTGCAGAAGATTAACCACAAAGAAAGGGAAGTGCCCCTTTTTGGATTATTCTATCGATTTTTTTTCTTCCTTTCTTTTCATTTTATTTACAATTTTTGACATTATCTTTCATAAAATATAATGCATAACTGGGTTTTTAATTAGATTCTACATCAAACATCCGATTAATTTAATCAATATTATTTAATGTACAAATTATCTTATTCGAGTGACATAGTTAATACAGTTCTAGTTACCAATAGGACCTAAAAGTAAAGTGGACGATGAGATATCATAATGTCCATTTATGTTGATGATATAATGCTAATAGACTAAAAAAGTTATAAATTGGGGTTAATTTGGAATGAGGAAATAAAAACAAAGACCCAATAATGGTCAATATGTTACAGCTGGCCTTAATAATTGAAAGTTGATTTTTAATGCTAGCTAGGTCCTTCACAAATTATAGGTTCCTGACCTTCTCTTTTCCTCTACTTTTGTGCCCTAGTAGCTAGTGCTATACTAAAGCTTGTGTTGTGTCTTTCATTTGATTTCCAACACATGTTCTCTCTCCCACCACTCCCTGGGCCCACGCGCTATTATAACCGAGATGAGATCTTCTGAACCCAAATACTCCTGTGACCTCTCTGTGTCTTCCTTAATTGGCTGATGATTTGATTTATTATTTATTATTTTAATTATTATCAAGTTAACATTAATTATGTTTAATTCAAAAAGCAAAGGCACAAAGAGGCCACAGGAATATTTGGGCAAATACCCCTGTGGCCTCTATGCGTCTTCCTTAATTGGCTAATGATTTGATTTATCATTATAACCCGTCATCATTTGTACACCCACCGCTGGACGTCTCCACACCCAGCATAAATGTCTATTAATATAATGCTAATAGACTAAAGAAAGTCATAAATTGGGGTCCATTTGTAATGATGAAATTTCAAACCTCAATCCATTATTATTATTATTAGAAAAAACGATATCATTTACATTAAGAGTGTGGAGAAGTAGATTAAGCCTCATAATAGATTATCAATAATGTAGTTCAAATTTGTTTTTGGCGATAATTGAGCCTAAAAACTATCACTTACAAGTCTAGAAGAAAATAACAAGATTGTAATATTAAATGGCTCATCAATCCAATATTTTTATGATTTCATATAATATGACATGCTTAGTTATATAGAATAGGAACTAGAATCTTTCTGATTCTTGAGTTTCATGCCTTTACTGAAAAATGTCCACATAAACAAAAGAAACAAGAAGTACTTCAAAGAAACAAATTGACTCGTTTTACACACTAACATATTATGGTGGTGACAAAAAATTCACAACTGAAAACTCAGTAAACAAAGCGAAAACCCAAGTGAAGTGAAGGAGGCATTGGCATCCCTTGACCCCAATAAGTTTGTAAATTTATCCTTTTGAAAAATTTTCCGACCCTTATAACTGCATAACAACAGCTGATGAAATATTGAGCATTGGAATTTTATATATCAATAGCAACAGATGAAATTATAGAAAATCCATAATTTTTCATTAGTTAATTCCAAGGGCATTGAACATAATTTTCCATTGTGCGTATGTGGCACCAGACTATCTCGGACTAGACTAGTTGCAAGGACTAAGATGGACTGACTTAGACTAAACTTAGTTGGACTAGCTTAGTGAAGCATTTGGTGCAGTATTGGACTAAAAAGCAGGATAATGAAAACAGTATTGTCACCAGTTTGATGTTTGCTTAGACTAGGACTACATTATTGTTATATTTTAATTGTTTTTTTTATTAAAGATATTATTAAAATTAACAATATTGGATGAGAGTGAGACTCAATAAAAATACAAAAACCAAATTTTCTTACCAACGAAAGAAACATACATGATTCAAGAGTAGCATTGTTCCAAACATGAATATAACAAAGTGTTCTCCCAACAATTGACAGGGTTCAGGATGATTTTCTTAATTATTCACCTTGGGTTTAAAGTCGTAGATTAAAGTTAAAGGTATTGGTTTATACTTGCATTTGAGTAGAACGAAAATTGATGTCTGACAAGTTCAATTTTTTACTCAATTTTAAAATAATTACTTGAAATTGCTATTGTATGTATAAGCCAGAAAGTAGTAAATCCTTTACAAGTAACAAGGTACCAGATGTTCATTCAGCCAGAAAGATGCAGAAAACAGCTAGGACGTTAACATCTCTCCAGGAGGTTCCCATGAACAAACCAGATGTCTACGTACGACTTATCTACAGACTTGGATGAAAAATATCCAAATCTTAGAATCTCATATTCCATTCAGGGTAACCACAACTTTCCGTGCTGTAGAATAGTCACGATGCTCACACAACCATATTCCCTGAAGCAGAATCAATACAAGGAAAAAAATAAACAATATTCCATAAGCTATAACACACCAGAAATTTTGATTTATTAGAGAGCCAAACAATGATGCAATGGAAACAGAATGTGATGTTTATAAAAAAGGAAAAAACAGAGTAATTGTTAGCCGAAGAGTGTAATTCCATAGCGCCATTCATTGCCTCACTCACATGCCCCTTAGAAATTGAAAGGGTTGATGAAATCTTAAAAAAAAGCCTATGCATATCTTATCTATCATTCTGTTCTCATGAGTTCATACTCCATGCTCAGCTTACATACTCAAATACAAGAAATTTACGCCTAGTCAAGATGCTTACAGTAAGGTCTGTAAAACATTCCATCATGCACTAACGCCATTGAGCACCGGCATTCAAAACATGTGTCTTTTAACTTACATGTTCTGCCTACATAAAAGAATACTTCTAGCCTTTACTGACACTTCAACAGTAGTAGGGAAGAAGGTTCAGAATGTAAGTGTTCTCGTAAAAACTTCTTTTGCAGCTAGTAATTTCTTAAGTACTGCTATGCGGTTTACCTTCCCTTAACATGATGCATTTTTTTCTCCAGAATTTACTTTAAGTTCTATTCCTACAGAGAATAATTAGGCATCATCCAAGAAATTTATTAAGCAGAGCATAGGTGAAAATCTTTCCAAGCATAAACCCTAATTTCAAGATTGAGAGATTCAAGCCCTTTACAAGTAGAAAACTTAGAAAAGTTGAATAATGGTTTTCACTTTTACATACCTGCCAAGTTCCCATGTTGAGTTTTCCATTTGTAATTGGAACCCTGCATGAGAACAAGGAAAATGTAAATGCCAACGAGGCCGTAAATTCCTCACAGCACATGTAAACAGTATCAAACAAGCTAGTAAGGTATCCTTACGTCAGAGTGCAGCCAAACATTGATGATTTAATATGTGCTGGCATGTCATCTGGGCCTGTAAAACTCAGATAACTTAAATTCTGAGCTACCAGGCACCACAGTAGCTAGCAGTCAAATGACAGTGCATATAATGCAAACTCAAAGACGTAGCCAACCAAGTTATAGAAATTGGGTTAAAACAGAGAAAAGCAAAGTATTCTTCGAAAGAAGAGACGAAGGCCATGAATGAAACAATGAAATGGAATCGAATACTAACCTTCAAGGGTATGCTTCCATGGTGCAGAGGTCCCCTGAAAATAAATGAAGACGAGAACATCATATAATGCTTGCTAGTGCTACTGGTACATAAGATGTGAATCATGTGATCATAATACACAGGAAAGGAAACAAAACGAAAGTAAGTAACCTCAGGAACAATGGTATTGAGGAATGTCTCTGCATCGTGACGAACATCAGAGTCATAATTCTCATTGATAGTAAGAGAAGCACTTGTGTGCTGCACTGAAATATTACCCACAAATAAATATACACAGATGTTATATGTTCATTCAAAACAAGCAAAAACAAGTATTGAAAGAAAACAGTATTAGGCAGGCAAACTTACAGAAGAGGTGGGCAAGGCCACACTTGAATTCTGACAAGTCCTCCCCAATTTCCTTCACTATCTGAAATTTCAAATAGAAATTAAATTTCTAAGAGACCTAAACACATGTTTCACCGTGAATCCAACTCAATTGATTTCAAATCAAGGGTTAGGGTTTGACGGATGGATCAACTCAAGAATCAAAATTCAAAAGAGTAGGTACCTTAGGGGTGACGAGATGACAACCCCTCTTGAGGGGAGGCAGAGTTATGGTCTTCTGTGCCCACTTAGGACCACCGACGGCTGCCATTGGAAGTGAATCGACAGCGGTGCCTCTGCCTCTTCTGCTCGGACTCAGACTCGCACTGACTGAGCATTGCATTTGCATTTTCAATGACAAAGCGATAAATCTTTGAAAATTTCTCAAACAACTAAATCAAATAAAGCTCAGTAATATCACGATCTGAAAAACAAATCGGAGAAATAAATCGAAGATTCGAAGTTTACCAGGCAAGAGGCAAGAGGAGCAGATGAGGGCAAGCAGGATGCAGATGAGGGCAAGCAGGACGCAGAGATGAGGGTGAGGAGGACGAGGATGAGGGAGCAGGGCAAGCAGGGAGCGATGGCGACGACTCTCTCTCGCAGGATGACCGAGGTTCTCTCTCGCAGAAGGTCTTACGAGTCCGGCCGAATTTGGGGTTCTTGTCTAAGAACTCCTAGCGAAGTCATTAATCCGAGCGAGTCCTATCAAAAGATCAACGAAAAAAAATTAGTGTGTGAAAAATAAAATAAGGATTGTGAATAGCACACCCCAACTTATATTATGTGGTTTAGTTAGTTCGCCTTACCCAATTTTATCCAAATACGGAGCTCTCACTTCTTGATGACGAACTTAAAAATTATATCTTTGACATACGTTTGCATAATGAAATTTTTGTGTTGAAAGAAATTAGTAGTTTTGCACAAAAGTTAGTGGAGATAAAGAGGGATAGGCAGTATCCCTTAGTGTACTTGCTAATGAAATTTGTGGAGCAAAAAATAATCACAAGACGACACGTGGATTCTTGGGTAAAAGAGAACAAAAATACCCTTGAGACATACTGGGATTCCTACGCGCGAGTAATCATCCCTAAACCAAGTCAAAAGTGCCCAAAATAGGTATCAACTTAAAACCTATTTCATTCCATATATTTCTTACCTCTTTTTCCCTCTTTTAGCTAATCAATTAGCTATTTATTTTATTCTTTCCATAACTTCTAAAGCCTTCCTTCTAAAAATCATGATAAATGGCCAATTAAGAGGTTAATTGCCTATTTAATCCCTTAAATTGTCAATTAAGTGATCCTTTCAACCCCAAAAACAAGTGAAGGGCCGGCCACCTATTGTTAGAAAAGGAATTGGCCATGTTTTGTTTATCTCTTGATATTTGCCCATTTCATCCCATTAATTAGCTAATTCATTTGGTAATAATTTTATTTTGCCAAATTAATTAGTCAATTAATCATATAACTCCCAAAATCATCTTAAATCATGAACAAAACCCACAAACAAGACTATGTGGCCGGTCCTCTCTCACCCTAAGAGGCCAGCCACTCCTCTATAAAAAGCCCCACATTTCTCACCAAAACCTAGTTGCAACTCTTGCTAAAATTCTCTAGAATTGTCAAACACTTTTTCTCTCTAAATTCTAACTTTGGCATCGGATGTTCATCGGCCAAAGCCCCCCCATTTATCGTGGGCGCGTGAGGCTCTTAGCCTTGACCTAAGGTGTTAATTGTTTTGTAGGTGCAATTTTGTCCAAGATCAAAGAGGAAGAAATTTGCATCCACAAAATTAACAAAAATTTTACCGTAGCGACTGCTTCTGTTGAAAGAGCTTTTTCGATGATGAATATTGTGAATCATCCACATCGTAATAGACATGTGATGAATGATTGAATGATAGTTTGATTGTATACATTGAGAATGATGTGTTTGATTTGATTTATAATTTTGTTGTGATACAACGTTTCCAAAATATGAGAACATGTAGTGGGTAATCGTAATGAAAGTATGATCGATTTTTTGACCCCATCATCGTAAATTCTTAACTCCTCCACTGCTAACAGTTTAGATCACTAAATTTGATACTGTGTCTTCGTTCCCGGCTAAAACTATTGGCATCTACTTGGGAAGACATTTGAAAGCAAGTGACCAACTTACTTCTTTGGTTTCATCAAATCCAATAAGCTCAACTTCATATGATATATCTGCCACTGGTGGAACATTCGGAAAAGAAAAGCTCCCTTCTTTCCCAAACCCTAACTCCCAGCCTACATGTAATAGGGCACGCCCTCCCGACTTCATGCTGGACACCCCAATAGCCCAGCCAGTCATTTCTTTTTTCTCTGTTGCGGTAACAAAAATATACTACTAATAAGAAGTTCATTGCATTTAATACCACCACATAATGATTAAATGCTTATGGACCCAAATCATATCAAATGACAAGTTAACTACAGAGAATAAAAGCAATAAAGAACTCACAGAACTAATTGCAGACTGAACAAGGAACATGCCAGAATTATTCTGCATATATTTTGTATATATCAAAAGTACCAGACAACTCGGCAAGGGCTATAATACCTTTTCCTAAAATCATTTCAAGTTGTCGTTGTTCATCCCATGTGTCCTCAAACTCGTGTCTTGTGCTTTCAGTCCATGCCCTGTAGTGCACTATCACACATATGCCAATCACTCAGTGATTGAAAAAATCAGAGTAAAACTTCACTGCAAGACCTTTCTACATGTATCTTAGGCATCCCTTTTATAAAATTTAATGCACGCACAAATAATTCTCCTATACGCATACACAACTCTGTGAACATGAATGTTGTGTGTGTCTGTTTGCAAGTCACAAGCTCATTCATGTCGTACTCCCGTACTAACAAATACATACACACATAACAATTATTGGATTTTCAACTAATGTACAAAGCACAGCACTACCAAAAAGGAAACCACCGGACACTTACAGAAGCATGTTGAATACTTGGATGGTATTTGACCATGACCTTCCTTAATGATTTGCTTTGTGACTTTCTCGTGAAGGATTTCCGCCTTGGAATCAACTTTTGGGGGGTCATTAGCATCTTGAGAAGGTTCTCCATGAACTAAGGTAGCATATTCAGTTACTGTTTCATTTTCTTTCACCATCTTGACCTACAAACAAGATGAACAATAAGTTTCCGGCTTGACCTAAAGATGAATTGTTCTTGAAGAAACTAAGCAGAAAAGGGTAAGAAAACATCATCATGTATTCATTCAGTCCAACTCGATCGCTCGAAAACCCACTTATGAGGTTAATTTGGCATATATTTGAAGCTAAAAAGCTACTAAGAGTCTAAGATTTGACATATATTTGCTTTTACAGAAACCAAGTGTAGCTGAAAGATTGAATGAGTGTAAGTTAGGGCCAAAAGTATGAGTAAACATACCAAGTGGTGGACTTTGCTGCTCAGCCTGCTCCAGGTCCCAGAAACATCCTCCATTACTTCTAACTTGTATAATCCAATGAGTCTTCTCAAAATTCTGCAAATACCCAAATCAAAGGCGCAAAATTTAACGCAATTGCATTCGAATTCCAAACCAAAAATTAGGAAGGGTTTCGTTTTCCTTGGACTTTTCCCGGGAACACGGAAAATAGAAAAAGGAAAAAGCGGAAGTGACTTGTATGATGAAATACAGACAGGAAGAGAAGATTATCTGTGCCCGGCGGCACGCTCTTCCTACACTATCCTTGTGACACCTGTCTTTTTACAGATTAGCTGTTTAATTATCCTAAAACCACTTAATGTATAATTGTATATTTTTATAATTAAAATTATTTAATTATTTAATTTTTATTAAAAGAAGTTTTATAAGAAGTTATTTCGAATTGTAAATTGTTTATGCCTCTAAATAGATGGAATAAATAAATGGTGTGAGTATTAAGGAACAATTTATGATGATTGTCTATTCATTTAACACATTTCTACATAAACGGAGGCATTATATGCCTAATGGGGGCAGCTGCCCTTACTTAACTCTTTTTGCCATGAAAAATGCTCTAACTAATATGTATACTTAGAAACAAAATCTTCGTCTAAACACTCAACTCAAAATACTCTCTCTCGCGTTCTATATTTTTCTTACCCTTCCACCCTTCTAATAATGTAATTTTTCCATTAGCTAATAATTTACAATTTTAATGTTCTAACACCAATTATCCAACATCATGTTGTTAGACAATAAGTTGTTACCACTAGAATAATATTCGATGTGTTGTAAAGTAAAGAATCTTATCTATAATAGTTTGAGCGTGACGTAAAATATTGTTGATTGTGATGTAGAGGAGATTCATCCTTATATTATGTAACGGACAAAAGAGAACGATGCCTCTTGTCTCCAGATAGTTTTAGGTGAGGTTCGGAAAAGTTCCTCCTAGGCCTTTAGATACGTGTGTATTCTATGTAAGAACGCCAACTTAAATGAAAAATTAGTTCTTTGTATGAACTTCTCTCGTTGAGTAAATATCCTTGCTTGAGTCATCCTTAATTTGTAACGATCCTAATTAAAGTAAAGCCTTTGGTTTCTCTAGGTTCAAGCACAACACGAGCCTGAGCACCATCTGAGAACTCAACAAGGGACACTTGAGAGTGGGGTGTGAACCCATGTTCTCCAAACAACAAAAATACCACAATTTCGTCATGCTCCAACTTCATCATTTTTGAACCAAAGGAGAAAGCTAAGGGCAGCAAGGAGATTGCATATACCGGCCTCAATCCTTTTGACAGAGAGCACCTGATAAGGGTGAAGCCTGGATTTAGGGTGAAGAATTCCTAATCTTGTGGCCAACAACTGTGGTGGTAGACAAGTAGGATGCACTGCAGGATTTATGGGGTGTAGCTGCAGAACCAAGAATTGAGGGTGCACCTTGAAATGGTTCTCTTGGAACTTAAAACAAATCATCAACTTTATAGCTGTAGTTAAAGCATCTCCCGGATCCCATACAGGCCAAAGGTTAAGGTTACTAGTGAACAGCAGTGAGAAATCAACATGTAGATCAATTGTCAAGGCACTAAAATACTGTCGTCTTATTGCAGCCGTTAGGATAGTTGCATCTTGTTCTGCCAGCATAGTTTCAAAGCTAACTCCCCATTTAGCACCACCTTAGACAATCTCAATTAGATAGGAATTTCCCTTCAAAGATGTTCTAACTGAAGTCTTGATCGATTGAAGATGACAACAAACAACTAGACTTGAACCCAGATTCTTATGCCTCATTAATGCCCATATGATCATGTCTTCTTCTGCCATTGTCAAAACCCAGCACGCAGCTATCAAGAAGACCTCCCATATAATAACAAAAAAGCCATCAGACCACGGAGAGGCGTGCTGCATTTTTCGTCCATGAAGCATTTGGCTGCCAATTGTGTTTGTAAACAGGTACTCCAGAGAATATACGAGGAGATACAATAATTGTGCTGCCGAGTATAAACTATATCGCACAAGTGTTGCAATCGTAGACAACTAGACAAACCGATGTCATAGTATCAATCATATGTCTAGATAAAGTAAAAGTGGAAATTGCTTTAGTTAAGCCACTCATGAAAGTGGAGAAATTACCATTGGCCATCAGAATTAGAATATTGTTCCAAATTCTAGAACAAATCATGGAACCTCTATCAGTAAATCTAGAAGTCTATAGTGCAGTCTATTGCAGCTTGTCAATTGTGTCAAAATTATCCAAATGGATTCCCTAGTCCTTACTGTCCAAATTAAAACCTAACGCATTCAAAATATGTATGTGCTGACAGATTTCCCCAAGCAGTATGTCAAAAAGCGATATATAAATAGAAATTGTTGTGTGTTGTATATATCCAAAAAATTGCGAAGCACTAAAAACTGCTAGAATCAGTTGGGAATTAGTGGACTGAATGAATCCGAATGAGTTACGGATGCCATTGTCCTGTAAATCCTTGGAAGAAAGTAAATGTCCATTTTGTTGTTCATGGTGAGCAATCTCCATTAGCTCCGTTTTCACAGTCACTATGAAGCCTTCTGTGTCATCGGTGAAAGTTGATATTGAAAAGTTCGACGGCAATGACTTTGGTATTTGGCAATTGAAGATGCGTGCTTTGTTAGTTCAACAAGGGCTTTTGAAAACGCTAAAGGGTGTGAAGACTTTGCCGGATTCGTGGACTGATGAAGAAAAAGAAGACGTTATGGAACGGGCACTTAGAGCAATCCTGCTGACTTTATCAAATGAAGTCTTGCGTGAAGTTGGTAGCATCAAATCTGCACCAGAGTTGTGGATAAAATTGGAGAGCTTGTATATGACCAAATCCCTTGCTAAACGGTTGTATTTGAAGAAAAGTTTGCATACTCTTCGTATGGATGAAGGTACGTCAATTCATAAGCATGTTGATGAATTCAATAAACTTATGATGGATTTGAAAAGTGTGGACAACCAAATTAGTGATGAGGATTATGCGATAACTTTGTTGTGTTCTTTATCTCCTTCGTATGAACACTTTGTCGATACCATGCTATTTGGTAGAGAAAGTCTTAGTTTGGAAGATGTTAAAGTCACTTTGAATTCTAAAGAGCTGAAGAATAAAGTGTCTGACACACAAGATGGAGCTTTGGTAGTTCAAGGAAGGAATAAGGAAATGAGCAAACTTGGAAAGAACACTTGTAGCTATTGTTATAAGGATGGTCATTGGAAAGTAGATTGCCCTAAACTCAAGGGCGAAAAAAAAGTTGTTTGATAAGTCTTTTGCTAGTGTTGATGCAAACATTGCAGAAGATCGTTGTTCTGAACTCCTCTAAAGGTTATGTGAAGAGGTGGAGCTTGGTACTCAAGCTCTTTAGGTGGAGTGCAATTCGCACTTTTTGTTCATATGTTCAAGCTTTTGCTTGTATTTTGTTTCGTATTTGTTAGTTTCCATAATGGAATTTGTTGGAGAAGGCGTTGGAGGAAATTTCAAGTATGAAGACTTTTGGATTTTTTGAGTCTAGGTGGAGATCAGTTTCGAAAGAATTTGGTGCACGTTTGCATTTGTATTCTGGTATCCCAAATTTGGAAGTTTGCTAATTTCTCGCCGAGGTGGAGATTGTTGGGTTTTTGGCTCAAAATTAGGATGATGCAATAAATTAGGTTTGTGTTACCTATTTGATTTTGGTGTCATATTTGGGTTTGGTTTTGACTTCTTAGTTACTTTCCTTGGTGGAGAGATTTTGTTAATTACCTATTTGATTAGGATTTGGATTTATTTCCTATTAGGATTCCTATTGTAACCTAAGTCCTATGCACTATAAATAGGACCTTAGGGTTAATGTATATTGTGTGGCTCATTCGTGTGGCAATTTGGTGAGAGTCAATTTGTGAGTTTGTTAGAGAGCAATTTGGGAGAATCTTCTCTGTTTGTTTGAGTTCTCTACTCGTTTGGTTTAGGGTTTGTAATTTGTGGGATTTGGGTTGTGAGAGTTTAAACACTCTTTTGTAATCTCCGTTTATTTAGTGAAATTCCTTGCCGTGCTTCGCCTGTGGAGTAGGCTTTACGCCGAACCACGTAAATCTCGTGTTAGTTTGAGATTGTTTGTTTTAGCTTTCTCCTGCGACGATATTTGGTACTTTGTTATAATTCGCTTCCGTTTGCGCATAAAAGTACAACATTTCAGAATTTCGCAAAGGATTGGACAATTGAAAATCTTGCTAGGGAACTTGAATACGTTAAGAAAATATTTGTTGTCAGCAAGGACATGAGAGGGAGACGACTTTATGAAATTGCTGATCAATCACTGGCAAGATTGGTAAACAAGTCTGACCTTCCGGAGGTGTACAATTATGTCATGGCTTTTCTTTTGGGTAAGTTATTTGTTTTATCAGAAATAGTTTATTGTTTCGTTCTTACAATACTATTCGGGGTCATAATCTGCTTGCATCGGCATAATATCATTGTTTAGGATCATGCCTTTTTCTTAAAAAAAAAAATGATCTAAAATTATATTTTCAATTTGCCATATATTTGTTTGCAGTAAAGAGAGTGTTTAATGATATTGAGTTATAAAAGAAGAGTCATTTGACACTTCGTAGCTTTTCTTATATGACTTACACTTGCTTTTGTTGGATTTTTTATCGGGAAAATGGCTTTGGTATATATACTACATCTCTTGTGAAATTTACAGATGCTTCCTTTCTCCATGGTTTACAAGATATTGATGTTACTTAGAGATTTTGATACTTGTGAATTGCTGCAAATAAAAGTTTTATCAGTCGTGTTCTTTGTTTTGACATGTATGGAAGCCCTTTGATATATTGAAGCTACTTGAAGCCTTTTGTTTTGATATTGAAGATGGAAATACTAATCTTTCAGAGGAAGTATTCTTCTTTCTGCTTCAACCATTACAACTGATGGTTTCTATAGTACATACATTATTTGTAAGTGTATAACTTATAGAAACTAAATCACGATACCAACTTCATCACTTACCTGATGAAGACATTGCTGCTTGAATTAAAAGGATTCTTCTGCAACTCTGCACTACCGAATACAAGGCTCAATCAATGGGGCTTGAGTATCTGAAAACTTGTGTGTTTGTGAGAGCGCAGGGACCCTAGTTTTATACCATAAACGATGGAGTTCAATCAGGACACTTCCCATTATG